GAAATATTCTAAAAATATTCTCCTTTTAAAGAGAAGGTATATTCTGAATATTGCCTTTTCAAAATGTAACATTGACTAAATATAGACACTTATTTATTCTCAATACTTGCAATCTGTTACATCCCAACCCTGTCCAAAGCAGCATTCAGCCAGTTATGGTGTGTTTTCTCAAAACTAGCATAACCATGAAAATAGGTGTAGCCTGCCAATCCACATATAGACCATTATATCAAATAAGGTATGTATATATATATACAATATATATATATATATATACAATATATATATATATATATATATATATATATATATATATATATATATATATATATATATATATATACTGCGGTCCCACAGTAAGTATTCAAAACTTAGATATTTACAAGGATTATGTTATTATCTGTTTATACCTAAGGCATTAATTGAGATAGTAAAATACACATGAAATCATCCTTTGTAGGGTACTTGAGAGGTGGCTGTTTTAAACATTAACCCCTAAATTTCAACCTGAGAAAATAATACCTACATAGGTTGTTGTTATTTCAATTTTTTTATATACCTTTTTTGATTTCTTTTAAATTGAAGTTAAAGATTTAGATTTATTGTAAGATTAATTTTTAAACAAAAAACTTTACTCAAAAAATGCTCTCCCATGTTTTTTATGTCACTACCAAAGCAAAAAAGTTTTAGTCTATGTGATATTTTAGCCACACCCCTGCACTTTAGAGCAGGAAGTGAGACTGCATCCCTGTCCCTCATGTCCACATGGTATACAGATCCCACTGTTCTGAAATGTGCCACAAAGTCAGGGCTGTAGCTAGAACTTTCACAATGGGGTTGCCAGGGAAGCCCTAAAGATTTTATAGGGGTGGCACACTGGTAGGAAAAAATATATATAATGTTACTTTATTAAAATGTTGTAAATAAGTGAAGCATTGTTTTTGCTCTGTACATACCTAAATCTATCTGTAAATTCCACATTAATAAAATATTACATCAATACAATTAGTACCATAAGTAAACTGAAAGACAAAACTGTGTTTATGTTACATATTCTAGTCATTTGTGAGAAAATTCTGTATTTGAATAGACATTAAATAAAATCACTTTTCAGTGCAATGGTAACTTTAAGAAATAAATTTCATACAGACAGCTATGCTATATTACTAGCACTGCTGAAGGGACCCAGTGCACGGTCAGCTGCCTGTTTGCTCAGGGAATTAGCCAATCACAGCAAGATATGTAAATTATTAAATGCAGCATCATCAGACTCTTAAAACTGATTGGTACCTTGAAGGCAGATTTTCACCATAAAGCATAAGTGAGGCTTAATTAATGATGGCTCACTGGTGATAGCTGACTGTCTCGCCTTCACTAACTGGGCTGGCCAGAAGGGTGGCCATGCTTCATTCTATGGTGGCACTGGCCACCCTTTGCCGCCCCTTAGCTATGCCTTTGCCCAAAGTCTGAAAATCAGTGTGTAACCTTAAGAATTGCCACTAACGAAACTCACATTTTATGCAATTAAGTAATTTTATTTTGTTTTTATGAAAAACACTATGATTTTATGTATGTACAACTGTTCAAAGCTGTGTTTGTTAGTCATGTACTGGCTAGTGTTTTTGAGTTATGTTCAAAATTGTCTATACTGAAACATTTGGTAAATTCTCAGTAGAATTATGATTGTTTTGTTAGCGATAAAATGGAATTTTCAAACATTTATTTTAATAAAAAAACATATTAAAAGTAAAGGGTCACTCAGAGCAAAAGATTCAGTTGTAGTCTACAACTCAGTTTCCAAAAAGTTGGGACGCTGTGCAAAATGTAAATAAAAACAGACTACAATGATATGCAAATCATTTAAACCCCACATTTAATTGAACATAGTGCAAAGACAACATATCAAATGTTGAAGCTGAAAAATTTTATTGTTTTTATATTTTGAAAAATATATGTCCATTTTTAATTTTATGCTGGCAACATGTTTCAGAAAAGTTGGGACAGGGGCAACAAAAGACCGGTAAAGTTGTGTAATGCTAAAAAAACCCTGGTGGAACATCTCGCAGCTATTTAGGATAATTGGCAACAGGTCAGTAACATGACTGAGTGTAAAAAGAGCATCACAGAGACGCTGAGCCTTTCAGAATTAAAGAAGTGGTTCACCAATCTGCAAAAGACTGCGCAGACAAATAGTGCAACAATTCAAGAATAATAATTTCTCAGCGTAAATTAGCAAAGCCAGCATCTGTGATGGTATGGGGGTGCATTAGTGCACATGGCATGGATGACTTGCACATTTGTGAAGGCACTATTAATGCTGAACCATATATACAGGTGTTGGAGCAACATATGGTGCTTTTTCTTTTTCAGGGAAGACCTTGCTTATTTCAGCAAGACAATGCCAAACCACATTCTGCACTTATTACTACAGCATGGCTTTGTAGTAAAAGAGTCTGGGTGCTAAACTGGCCTGGCTACAGTCCAGACTTGTTAGCTGTTAAAAACATCTGGCGCATTATGAAACAAAAAAATTAACAAAGGAAACCCTGAACTATTGAACAGCTGAAATCTTATATCAAACAAGAACGGGAAAACATTTCACTTTCAAAACCACAGCAACTGATCTCCTCAGTTCCCAAACACTTACAGAGTGTTGTTAAAAAAAGAGGTGATGAACACAGTGGTAAACATGCCCCTGTCTAAACTGTTTTGAAATGTGTTCCTGGCATCAAATTAAAAATGGGCATATATTTTTCAAAAAACAATTCCTCATTTCTCAGTTGCATCATTTGATATGTTGTCTTTGTACTATTTACAATTCTACAATATAGAATTTAAATAATTTGCACATCATTGCTTTCTGTATTTATGAACATTTTGCACAGCGTCCCAACTTTTTTTGGAAACAACGTACTTCAGATGGATTTGTGTCAGTCAACATACGTATTATACACTATCACCCACGTCACAACAGCAGAGCATGAGTAGTTACATTGCAACGTAGTGGAAGCGTTTAAACCATCATGGAAACTACACCTGTCTGTGGCTATGTTTGACTATTTGCGTCATTTGTGCAGATCCACAGATAAAAAGAAACTTGTGTGTTGCAGCCCTCTACTGGTCAATGCCAGTCAATTGTTTTTTCACCACTGATGTATGCACAGCAGTATTTCTGCAGGCTTGTGATCAGAGTGAATCAACTGATATTAAACCTCTGCTCAATCCAAGATCTGCTATTGTTGTAACAACACTCTGCATCAGCAAGTAATGCATAAAACACCATCAAATTAATAATGTAAAATGCTATGAGAGTCGATGATGGATAAAGTTGTAAAATGCAGTGAACCTGAATAGGTACTTCAGTAAGCAAACAAGACCTTATCTGGGAGAAAATGTTTACTGAAGTGAAAGGCTATTCCCTTAGAGATATATTGCATGCACCTGGTACAGTGTTTGTTTAACAAGTATTTCATAATCAAGAAAAAGGTCATGCGATATTAATACAGCAAATCTGATTCTAAATGACTTATGAAATCTCCTGTTGCTTTATAGATTTTTGGATGTTTCTGTTTCCATTTACTCAAGTCACTGCAACCAGGGATACCTGGTAGTATCCTGTATTGTTACATTTGGGGCCAAGTAAGTGCACATACTTAAAGTAGCTTGGATTAGAGTGCTGGCTAATCCAGAGCTTGTTTCTCCAGTCAGACTGGGTGAAAAGCAGTTTGAACATAAGGATCTGTTCAAGGCAGACACACCAAGCATCAGAGAAACTGACCATAAAACAAGTCAGACAAATTGCATTCTGTAAAACCACTTTTCCAAATTGAAAACTATTCATTTTTTCCATATATATTTCTATTAAACGACTTTAATGCTTCTCTTGCTATGATTTCTTTGTGATACATAGGCTCCTGGAAAGCTCAGAAATATATAGGTGCTCTGGGGTGCTGTAAAGAGTAGAGTTGGGTGGACTGTGGGTGGAGAGTGTAATGTAGATAATGAGGCATATACTGAGCATTGTAAGAGTCATGGAGGCTGGTCTCATTGTTTTCTCGTTTGTTCTATTCATACAAAAAGGAGAAATAGTACTAAGCACCCTCATACCGAAAGGTTGTGAAATAAATGATATTGCAGCATAAACTGATCATGGAACTTTTTGGCATGGATTAAATCTACCTTGCTGTTAAGTCATGACTTTGTGTGTGTGTGTGTGTGTGTGTGTGTGTGTGTGTGTGTGTCATGATATTTGCAGAAAATACCTGGGGATAACATCAGTAATGAATTTGCTTGCAAAAAAAAATCAAGAAAATATGCCCCTTAAACACACTGTAATTTACTTGTATTTATATTTGTAACTATTTATGATTTATTTGGTGTCTTTAAAGATATTCATAGATGATATTTCTCCTGTACATCATTTTCATTAAATGTTCTTTCAGCTTTTATTACACTCTTATTTTGAGTCAAATGAAGTAATAATTCTTTTTCCTGCATCCAAAAAAATACGACTGGGGTGGGCGGCTTCCCAATCCCCTTCAAGCAGTATGTTGCTTAGGGCCTCCAAATGTTCAGAATCAGCCCTGCAGATTTGAGCTCCTGAGCCTTTTTACCATCATGGTCATGTAAAATGAAGGCGTTACAAAAATCACAGATTGTACCTTTTGCCTGACTTTAACCTTCAGTTAAAGACTCAGTGTAAAACTCTTCGGCAGGCAGACAGCAGTGCCCTGTATGAGCTCTGCCTGAACCTGTTGGGGGGACACGCGCCATCAGACCAGACTGACTGATCTGAATGAGACCCACAGAGTTTATTTTAAGTTCACTGAAGAACCATACGCACGTTTCTGAAACGCTTACTGTCTATTAGGGTAAAAATCTCAGCACACAGCAGAGACCTACAAAAAAGTAAATTATAAATCGTCTTGAAGAACCTCGTCTGTGTGGTCACACCCTTCGCCGCGCTCACTCTCTCCGAGTCGATCTATCAGTGTGTCCGCCATGTTGGACAGTGTGGGTGTCACTCTCTTATACAGATCTTAGAGCTGCTGCTAGCGCAAACGCCGCCTGCCTGCCTTCACACAAACACTAATATAGCCTCAACGAGCGACTTCACTTAATAAACGTGGGTAGATCTCAGCCAGCGAGCATTTTTTTCTGAATAGGTTTACCCGGTACGCATGCCGGGCGTAATTCCAGGAGAAATACTGAGCCTGAACCAACATCACAGTGGAAGGATTGGTAAGTTACTGTTTTGTTTTCCAGCTGGTTCTGTGCGCTCCAAGTGCTGCCTGCTCACTCCCAGTTTGGTGATATCTCCACAAAGCACCAAGTAGCCGTCGCAACTTGCGAGATAAATTAACAAATTAGGTAACTTGTGGCTTTCTGACACGGTTGACTGTCAGTTAGAAGCTGTTTATATTGATATATTACTCGACCAGTTTAGTGGTTTACTATTAAGAAACACCTTTAAGCAGCCAAGATTAGCGTTAGACAGCGATGCTAGCCAGTCGGTTGCTAGTACGAGAGCTGTACACATTGCTATAATGTCGTTGTTCCAATAATTCTTTTTTTATGCCTGCTATTTAGATGTTCAAGAGGTGATTGATTACTCCTGGAGTTATCTCTATCATTAAAAACCGACAAGGCAACAGCTGATATTAGCAAGCTAGCTGAAGGATGAGTGTTCCCTTGTGCATGCTACGCTATCCGTGCTAGCAGGCTTTTTTTGCAGCTGCTCGAACTTTTCGAGCTTTTTTCTGCTGCTAGCTTAGGAGGCGAAAAGCATGTTTACTTACTATTAACTTTATGAAAGTTAGAGTTTAGCTCTGTTACTACACCTTGTAATATAGTACCTGAAAGTCGTTTCGTCGTTTGTGGTGCTATTTCGGAATTATTTTCTTTAACAGTGAACGTTAGCCACCTTATTTTGCTACAGGTAGCTTATGTAGTTAGTTGCCTCGAACAGTAGTGCTAGCGCTTAGCTCCGTATGAAGTTAGCTAGCTAACGCTAACACTGGGGTGTTAGCAAACTAGCTTAGCTGGCCGGCTGCATTATATACTGGCTAGCAATTTCCTATGTGGAATCTAAAACCTTAGTTAATCGAGTTATGGAGAAAATCTATGACAGTTTGCTAGTGATTGATGTTCTTCCAGACGCCTTTGGTCATTGACTGATTTGGATACATTCGAGTGCCCTGTTAATGTTAGCTGGAAGCTAAACAGAATTTAACATTACATATAAAAAGTATTTCTAACTGGTTTGGTTTGGCTCATTCGGTTGCCAATACTGAGCACTAATCTATGTCATGGATGGATTGTTTGCTTTTTACTCAACGTGTGTAAGTGTTGTGTAGGCGACCTTGGTTATAAAATTTTGGGTAGTTTCGTTCTGTTGACTTAATGCTGGTGACCAGACCGACAAAGCCATAACCAGGGTTTTCTTATCTGTGTCTGCTAAGTTACACCGATTTGTAAACCGTGAAGTAATGTAGTCACCAGGTCATGACTTCTCAGGCCGTCCTTTTGGTCACCGAGTGGACACACCCGTATATGGAGAATATTTTTCTGTCGTGTGACCGGTGTGTTCGCGATACATGCCTAGTCGACCCGATCCCATCCCGCACTCGCCCACATTGTTTAACATGACATACGGGGTCTTGGGGAGGACAATAGGGCAAGCGTTACTCTTTGTAAGGCAGGCAGATGTGTTGATGCAGAAGCTAAGGCTCAGAAAGGTTTGTCAACTGTGCTGAAGTTGATTGACCAAAGAAAATATGTCACTAGGCTGGATATCTTTAGACCAGGTTCACAGGAATTGTGCTTTGGAGAAGTTTGGGAACAGTTACAGAACCGGCTGGACCAACATTCAGTGGGACATACATACTAGGTACCTGTAATGCCTGGCTCTCTGTTTAGTTTTTGTGTTCCAGCTGACACACTTATTATTCCACGTTTGCATCCTTCAGGTTTTGCTGGTAGTGGGGTGTGGTGCTCAGGTTTACACTCAGATCTCTGTTCCCGTCTACCTACTGCTGCTTCATGCAGTTTGTCCCCACATGCCCTTCCTGCTCTTTTATAATGGAGCCGTGAAGACTGGAGGCTTGTTGGCACTTGTCACGCACGTTTTTCTTTGTCAAGGTTGAACCATATCAGGGCATTTTGTCCTCTGCACCTGTACAGTGCAGTTGTACTCACACTCTCCAGGGTGGGCAGTGGTTTAGCTGTGGTTATTGGGATCCACAGTCTTACTTGGGGGCAGTTATGGATAAGTAGGGATTCAGTTTTTGTTGACTAGCTGCTGATTATTCTTAGACTCTGGGCGTGTTTAGTCAGGCATACAAACAATGATAGTGTTTAATCATTGGTTATTAAGGATGTTGATTCTGTTCATGAATTTGATTATCCTTCCCATTTCCTGTCTTCCACTCAGTGACCTCAGTCAAAAAAGTCTTTCAAATGAATTGTTTGAACATTGTTATGTCATATTATAGGAGTTTTTGGCATTCATAGGTAGGTTTGATAATATTTGAGTGTATGATTAGACTATATTAGTGCTGTGTATACCTGTAATCCTGACTATTTGCTGGTCATAGGTTTCCTGGATAGGGATTAAGCCTAGTCATAGACTGTATTTTCTTTCCAATTAAGAATCTCCACTTAGAGTGCTGTGTAGTCCAGAACTAGGTTTAATCCTTGTCTGGGGAACCGACTCTTAATGATGTGCAACAGCCATTGGTTTATGATTTTTTTTTTAGTGCTGGCCACAATGATGGGATGATATTTAATAATATTTAGTGCTGGACATAGTACTGGTACTAGTGTTTCTCACACATTGAGCTTGTTTACTCCTAGCATCAGCGAGTGTTTTGTATCTGAATATATTTTGTCTGCATCCCATTTACACTTTTCACATAAGTGCATTTACAGATTTGAATACTTTCCTGCATTAAAATCATGTCAACACATATATTACTTTTGATTACTACTGGTAAACATGGTTTTGTCAACTTTTACTACCAGTATATCACTCAATTGAAAATATAGGAATAGAAACCACTTAATTCAGATAAGTTGTCTGCATTGGTGGAGGAGAAAACTTTGCCTTGGAGCTGCTGTGATTTCTCCAGTAGTCAGCTTCTCTGCTGTCATGAGCGGTTTTTGGACATAAGCGAGAAGTTAACACACAGTGTTTCCTCTGGGATTTTTTTCAGCTGCAGTGCAGGCCAGAGCCCTCACCCACACACACACACGAAGGGGTAAGAAACAACCCCCCCTTCAATTATATAAATTTATATAATTTATACATTGGATTCAGATCCAATGGCATGCAAGGCACCTGAAGAACATTGAACCATGAAACCACTTTGAGACAAATTTTGCTCTGTGATCTAGTGCATTATCGTTCTGGAAGTAGCCATTTGAAGCGGGGTAAATTGTGGCCATTGCCTCGGCTATCTGTTCTTGGCTAACAGAAATGGAACCCGAAGTGGTCTTCTGTTGTTGTAGCCCATCCGCCTCGAGGTTCAACATATTATGCATTCTGAGATGCTATTCTGCTTACCACAATTGTACAGAGTGGTTATCTGAGTTACTGTAGGCTTTCTGTCAGCTCGAACCAGTCTGGCTGTTCTCCTTTGACCTCTCTCATCCACAAATGTTTCCGTCTGCAGAAGTGCTGCAAACTTTTTTTTCTTTTTTTTATTGCACCATTCTGAGTAAACTCTAGAGACTGTTGTGGGTGAAAATCTCAGAAGATCAGCGGAAAAACCAGCCTGTCTGGCACCAACTATCATGCCACAATCAAATTCACTAAGATCACATTTTTTATGGTGGTCGATGTGAATTTAACCTGAAGCGTATGCGCATGATTTATACACTGCATTGCTGCCACGCGATTTGCGAATCAGATAACTGCATAAGTGAGTAGAAGTGAGTACATTAAATTCAGGAAATGTTAGTTTGTACACCCTGTAAAGAAATGTGTAGGAGTCTAATTCTGATTATTGTGTGTATATAGGCAATGTGTGACTATTAAAAGTGTAGTAGGGGTAACCGTATATAACTGCTACATTTTTATGAAACCACACACTTCTTTGCATCGGTTTTAACTGTTCTGACAGGAAACAAAGTTATGTTAATCAAGCTAAATGCTAGCGTGTAGCATATTAGAGTTCTAACCTAAGGTGATAATGTCTGTTTTAACTGTGCGTAACGGTCCTAATGTTTTCCTACTGATCTAGATTGCTAGCTACCATGCTCTTCACTGCAGTTATTTATGAGAATAAACAGCGTGCTGGCTAGTGAGCCATCTATCCTGAGCCTAGAGTATTTGAAAATGTTTGGTAGGTGTAGCTCTGCAGTTAGCAACTATTTCCATACTTCCGTAATTTCAGTTTTGACGTTCAGATCACAATCAAACCTGAAACAATCAACACAGCAAAACAGCACTGAGCCATGTACATGGGCTCAGTGCTTTCAGAAAGATAAGTTATTTTTTTTCTTATTCCACACAAAAAACATAAAACAGTTTTAAAAACCTCTGCTGTGGAGAATTTTTTTTAAAGGTGTGGACAGGAGGCCAAATGCAGAAGATGATACCTGGTATAGTGCAGTTTTACCATACAGTACACACAACGTTTCCTTTCAGCCACTGTCATTGCTTCTTCATAAATGAAAACAAACCTAGCTGAACAAACATGCTGTTTCTGACTATTGACTGCAGAAATACAGAAAACATTTTCCAAATTGTCAGCAGAGAGTGTGGACACCTGTTAAAATTTACTCCCTACTTTGGGTGGATGCATAATAATACCTGACATTTTAGTCAGTAGTTATGTAAGAACCATGCTATGGAGCACAATATTTCATATAATCATATCAGTTAATGAGTATGTGCTTATCTGATACCATTTGGTTGCCAAATGCAATCAACTGGTATGTCACTGTTTATAAATTTCAGGCACAGGATAGCCTTACTAGCAGCCTTACTAAAACTAGAAGCCATCTGACATATAAACATCTTTGAAGAACCTGCATCATACTTGTCATGTTAAGAAATGGGGTCACTTTACGTAGACTCAACGTAGTGGAAAAACAAATTAAGGTATTCTTTTAGAAGCACAGCCTGAGCCCACTTTAATTCTCTGAAAGCAAGAGATTTCTGCGATAGATACAGCCATTATGACTCAGCAAGAATAATGAGAAACATCATGCAGGTCACTAAAATATCTTTTTTATTGTAGATGAACATGCAAATGCAAGGTTTATGCAGTGTTCACAACAGTAAGTGTATAAAGTGCTACCCCAGTATGTTTTCAGTTTCATGAGCTACCCATTATATACCTGTAGGTGGAGAGGTGTTAATTAATTTGTTGGAAAGTTCCTTTAAAGTGTAGGCTCCCTCCCCAAAGCCGTGCACTTGAAAAATACCTGCTGCCTAATTAGCTAACTGCAAATAATTGTGTGGACTTGTAAATTGAAGTTTTCCGTTTGTATCTTTGAAAGGTAGTCCTTCAGGCAAGAAGTCTGTAGTCACAGTTCATGAGGTGTTAAGGTACTTACTTATTCTTAGTATGTAAAATATTCTTTTCTAAATTTTAGTCTTTGACGTGTGTTTCATCTCTCTTTTTTCGATCTCTGTCTTTTGATATCTATTTTTGTTTTTTGATATCTTAGGTCTGAGATTAGCTAGTAAGAACCTGTTCTAACAGTTTCTTCCTCGTTTCTTTATCACTGGGCTACAAGGTGAAGTCTGCACAGCCAGCGCTCTTCCTCACTTTGCTATTCACTGAATTCATTCTACCCGAAGCTTGGCTTCCTTTCAACACCAATCACTGAGTTGCCTCGATATTGGCAGGGCTCAGACCTGACGTGTTCTTTAGTATGGAAGAGGCTGCTGCGCTGCCTAGATCCTCAAACAGACCCTGCCTGTGTGCTGGCTTCCTGGGCCCCCGGTCAGAGTGAGGGCTGCTGGAGCTTTGTTCCGGCACTGATACAGTTGCCCCTCTCTTCCTCTTGTGTGCTGGGCCTGAATAGGTGATTAAAGCAGCAGATGTTTCATTAGGGCCTGGCTGTATTCATGTGTATGCAGACTCGGGGAGGCGGAGGGGGGTCGATGGGGAGGTTGCTCTGTATGGGCACTCGGCAGGGCCACAGGAGTCACATTTCAGTGACTTTTAATGAATTTATGGGGCATGCCAAGTGGTTTTGTTGGCTGTTACCCCATGTCTTCACCGGCTTATGGCTGTAGGCTTAACACATTATTGCACATCATTATCAGCTGGGGATCCGTTTGAATAAGTAGTGTGGTTGTGAAAAGATACAGTTGCCAGAATTAGTTTGAATAGTTTTTCGCATTAAACTGGAGTATTCAAGTCATGGCCAGAGTATTAAATTCATAACCTCTGGAACAATTAAACCTTTCAGCAAAGCACACAACCAATTGTTATGATTTAAAAAAAAAACAAAAAAAACAGGTGTATTCCTGTAGATTTAATAATTTACTGTGACGGTCAGTGATTTTATTTGACAGTAACATCTGGTCAGTTCCATAGACTGTTGTGTCAGAAGAAGGCAACACAGGAGTTTGTTTTGGGAAATGAAACATCTCTCCACATGCCGGTAGAGAGTTGTATTACCGTAACAGGAACCACGTCATGCGTGGAGCCACCCTATGATTCTCTACGTACGTAAAGCGTGCGTGCTGGTAATGTTTCACTACCTGGATAGAAGCCTACTACACATTCTGTGTTTGGAAAGTGCACAGCTGTGACCTATTTCTCTTTATCTGACTGGGGGGATCATTTTAACAGCGAGGAGCTGCTGGTGCTGTCAGGAAATGTGCTCGCTAGACTTTGGCTGCATATGCAGCTTTGATGCAAAGGGCAAGAGTTATGCCCCAAGCTTAAAAGCATAACCCCATTCTGGTGTACGTTTATTTGTAGAAAAAAGACTTGACAAGAAGAGAATGTAAGAGCAGGCTTCTGATTAGTTAAGCTTTGTGGAGTATTTATTTAAATGGTCTGAAGAGTTTATTGCCTAACCAAATTAACCTTTTAAACAGTTTCTTTAGACTTCATCAGTTTGTACTTAACTGCTTGGTTTTGTGTTCCAGGTAATGGAGGAATTCGCCATGCTGACTCCCTACTCTGAGTGGAAATGGTTTTAACAGGCAGCGAGTAACGGAGGGAATTGTTAAAGCAGGGAACACGCATTTGGACTTGCTAAACCCTTTTTGAAATCTGAACTTGGCTTTGAGAACTGAAGGAAGAGCCCTAACTTTTTTTTTTTGGTTTTGAGGAATAAAAAGTGAAAACTTTTTCTTTCAAGTAATTAACAAGGATATTAACAAGACCTCACAATGCCGAGCTCTACTATCAGGAGGCAGATGAAAAATGTGGTCAATAACTATTCAGAGGCAGAGAAAAAGGTCAGAGAAGCGACCTCCAATGACCCATGGGGACCCTCTAGCTCGCTCATGTCAGAAATCTCCGACCTCACTTACAATGTGGTGGCCTTTTCTGAGATCATGAGCATGATCTGGAAAAGGCTGAACGACCACGGCAAAAACTGGCGGCACGTGTACAAGGCCTTGACACTGCTGGACTACCTGATCAAGACCGGCTCGGAGCGCGTGGCCCTTCAGTGCAAAGAGAACATCTTTGCCATCCAGACTCTCAAAGATTTTCAGTACATTGATCGTGATGGCAAAGACCAGGGTATCAACGTGAGGGAGAAGTCCAAGCAGCTGGTGGTGCTGCTGAAAGACGATGACCGGCTGAAGGGCGAGCGCTCTCAGGCCCTGAAGACCAAGGAGCGCATGGCTCAGGTGGCAACCAGCGTCGGTAGCAATCACCAGATCAACTTTGGTCGTGGCTCCAGCCAGCCTAACCTGTCCACCAGCTACTCTGAGGAGTATGGCAGGTCAGAGGGTTCGCCGGCATCATATCACGGATGTAAGTTTACTGACTGGAATGTTACGCAAGCACTTTTAATGTCCTGTGTAAGATGGAGTTTTGAAATTTGGAGTTCTTAGGATTTTTAGTCATACAGGAAAAGGTGGTGACTGATTTGAAAGGATGTGTGAGCAAATAATGTTGAAACACTGAAGTGGATTACTACGTGTCTTTTTAAGGGAGGAACAGTGTTAGGTTTTGAGCCATGTGTTCATTATTTTGCATATTAACAAGATGTCAGCACTACATATGTAATGCCAACCTGTTTTTATACATACCCAGTTCCAAAAAAAAAGGCACAGTATGTGAAATGCTAATAAAAACAGAAAGCAGTGATTGAATTGAAAATGGAACAAAAACACAGTATTTGATGTTTTACCTTATAAACTTTGTTTTTTGTGTAAAAATCCACTCATTCCAAGTTTGCTGCCTACAACACACTCCAAAAAGTTGCCAGAGTAACATGTTTACCACTGCGTCAGACTACTATTAACATTTCCACTGTGCATCGGTCCGTTTCAGAGGAGCTTAAACTCAGAGACGTCTGCAGCATTTCTTGATATGGTTGACATATGACTCCTGCTATTCGTAGTCACATTCTTAACTTGCATTTGTGGATTCAGCGATGGACAGAGTTTCTTGGCAATGTTTTTTTAAAGTATTCCCCAGCCTATGCAGTGATATCCATCACAGAATCATGTCCGTTATGCATGCAGTTGTCTCCAGATTCCCTGAATTTTTTCATGATATTATGCAGTATAGAGGACGAAGTAACTAAAATCCTTGCAATCCCTGACTAAGAACTTTTGGGTTTTTGCTGATGCTTTTTTGCCAAAGTGGTAATATTTCACAGCGTTCTTAGTGTTAAATTGCCCCGTCACAGCTTTTGTAGAACGTGTTGCAGGCATCAGTTTCAAAATGATTTACAAAAAAAGTGTATAAGGTAAAACATCACAGATAGTCATTCTGTTTCTTTTACAGGTCAAAGTAAATTCATAAGACACTGGTTTCTGTTTTTATTTGCATTTTACATAGTGTCCCAACTTTTTTTGGAACTTGATCTGTACAAGTTGCTTCATCTGTCTTTAGGACTGGGTATTGAAAGTCAAAACCTGTGTGGTACTGATTTGAATGACTTAAATATTGTTGACTATTTAAAAATTCTCTCCTTCAACGCGTAAGTAATCAGTCTTACAAGCATCTGTGAGCCAGTAAGCAAGCTTGTTCCAAAATCTAGACTGCTGTGATGGACTGCTTAAATTTAAATCCACATTAATGTTATCAGCACTTCCTTATTAGTTTGCAGTCTTTTGCAGTCAGTAAATATACCCATATCCAGCAACTTAAGGAACTTTAAGTTAAGATATCACTGTTGGTATTAGTAGCAAAACTTTTGGAACTGTTCTCAGCCCTGCCTGTTGTATTCTGTCCTGTCAGTGTAAATTGTTGTTAGGGGATTATTTTGACCAAAAGTCAAATTTACAAGTATTCTCAACTAACTGGCAGTCTGAAGTTGGCTTTGTTAGTTTTGCACTAGAATGATGAGACTGATGTAGCTAACAAAAAATAGAAGCTTATACCAAACATTATGAATGAAAGGAAGGTTTCTGGTTGGGAATAAGAATGCGCAACATGGCTTTTATGGCGAAATTCCTGCCTTTCAATAAAAAGAGCCAATCAGCTTGATGGTAAAGCTGCAGTTGGGAAAAGTTTTCCCTTATTGAGGAAACAAGCTGAATAATAGTTATTAGAGCTACAAACTATTTATGCGACTTATGTCAGACTTTATTAGATTTCAGATATGTTTTTAAAATATTAACAGAAACGTGGCTTTCAGTTTCGGTTCTATAGGTCTCTCCCTATTCAAAAAGGTAGGAGTCTGGTCTTGTGTGACTGGAAATAACTGCCTGAGCGTGTTGTTCAGATAACTGTAGAGTGGTCAGATTTTCCTATGAGTGCTTTGCTTATACTCCACTAATTAGCATCATGCTAAGCGTGCGCGTCAAACCCCATCAGGTTGTTAAGTCATCACAGTAATGTGTTGCCTGTGTGGTTTCTGACACGCTGTGGCGTACTTTTGTTTACGTTTAAAGGAAAAGGTATGTTGCATAGTTAAAAATAATAGTATCCATCATGAAGCTATTAATTGGCAACCACAAAGCCAGCATCAACTTGTGGTATTTCATCCACTCTGTGTCAAATGTTATTTGTAATGAAATGACTGATATATCTATATCAGACCGCTAAGAGTTTCATTGATGTAGGTGGTAAATGTCAGTGGTTGTAGCTGCTTTGGGATGCTGAGCACAGCAGCTCTAGCCCTGGATTAGTGTGCTCTCCACTGGTAGCGCCCTCTTCAAGGAGCCCATGCTTGGAGCTCTGGCTGCATGCAGTAATCCTTTAAGCTGCTGACTAGGAAAGTGCATGTCTCCTGTTGCTCTTCAGGGAACATCTCCTCGGCTATGTCCCCTTGCTTGGTGCTGATGGATGTCTTGCTCTTCTTCTTTTATGATTGACATTTTATTGTATTTTAAAACATAAGAATGAACACACACATAAAACAGGAAAAATGAGACTGTATACAACTCAAAAAGAGGACCAAGACATTAACTAAAAAAGAGGAGAATTAAAATACAGGAAAAAAAAATAGAAAAGAGGCTGTGTTGTAATGGGACCAAATGAGCAAATGCATGGTGTGTATATGCATTTATATTCATGGAGGGGAGCCATGAGTTTGTCTTTAAAGGCCATTAAATTAGTGAAGAAATCTTTCCCATTTTAAGTAATACCATTCCAACATGGCCAGTAGAGAGAAGGAGACCTGTTCATATGCCGCCACCTTAGCAAGCAGATCATGCCAGTCTGAAATTGCTGGTGCGTGAGCTGATTTGCATTGCTGGACGAGCAGTCTCCTGCCCAACCTGAAAGTTGTGATGTTTCACTGTTCTGAGCCACTGCTTCGCTTTTCCCTCCTCTTTGCCTTGTGCTGCTTACAGGAAGCCAGAATTCCTGAACTCCCTGAGGTCTGCTGCTCTTCTCTGAGTGTCTGTACTGAGTGGAGGAAGTAGGATGCAGCTCTCTCCTCCCCCACCCACACATGACTGAAGAATTTTATAATCTACCCCAGGGAAGACAGCCTCAGAAGAGTTTACTCAAACTCCAGTATAGGCCAGATGATGTAACTTGAATGTTGCTAGGAGTTTTTATATTCAGAGCTATTGGAGCATGTAAGTGGATTTTAACTCAGAGAAACTGGAGTTTATCTCTTTAAACTTTGAGTTTAGAGCTCATACGTTGCTGGTGCTTTATATTGCTGCCAGTTTAGGGGACACTAGGTCAGCTTTTGGCAAGTTCTTGGGATTTTGCAGGGAGGTGCTTGGGGGTGTTAGTGTTTCACTTGGTGTGATTTTCATAAAAGGGGGGGGGCCTTAAACGGAAGTGCAAGCAGCTGACTCATTAACAAAAGGGTGAGAAATGGGACACTGTGAGAAAAGCTGGGCTGTTAACAGCGGAATGTTTTACATTCCTGTGGAAGCTTCCTGGTATTGTCCTTACACAGATTGTTAATGGGCTTTTCTGTTGAGTGTAATTCACACTTCAAGTTGTTTTTGATTAGCAACTTTTAGCGTACAGGCATTATCTGGAAAACAGGCAGCCTGCTGTAATTCATTTTCATAGCAATCCTACTCATTTTATAGTGTGTTTCTGTTGGTTTGGGTTGTTTAAGAATTAAAAAAACATATGGTTATGTTATGTTATAGAAGGGGTTATAAAACAGGATAAGATGTATTTATGACTTCATGACACGTGGTCTGACGAGTGCATGAAATGGGGTTGGTGTAATCATAGTTCATTGACCATATAAGGTGGTCCTGCGTGGAATGTTGATGAAAATACCCAGTGTTCTGGGATCACAACTGGTGCAGCTATCTAAATAAAGCAAGACAGATTGAACTGTGGGCAGTTATTTTGTCCTTCAGCTGTCATTCTTAGGTTTTCATCAGTCATCACAAGCTGCATTTTGGTGACAGTATGGATACAAAGTGGCCAAACTCGTAAACTTGGTCACAAGCCACAGTGTTTAGTTTGACATTTGTCTAATTTGATTTACTCTGTAATGGAACAGCTGATGTCACTGTCTAGAGTGACATTTCCAGCTTACAGTCAAGACATTTGAAGATGTCAAAACATGTGGTTTTCTTTATGTACAGTTTCCACGTTGTCTTTAGTCTTAATTTAGAGCACATTTCAATATGAATTGCTCTGCCCCCATAATAGTCTTACTGATTCATATCAGAGCTCATACACATGCATCACTATCTCTCTTTTAACATGCTTTTCTTCTGTCTGAGCTGGAAACCCCCTCACAGTCTGCACTGTTCACATGAAAATGGTTGCGTGTTGGAGCACTTAGGTGCATAAACGCGAAGGAAGTCATTAAAAGTCATATTGATGATGAAATGTCGGGTTACTTATTTTTCTCTGCTTTTTCTTTTTTTTCTGTTCCTGTAGTAGCTGGTAAGGCTGAGGCACTGGCTCAGTAGCTGAAGCTTTCACAGTTTGGCCTGTGTTTTAAATAGACGAGCTTTCATCCAGCAAGGCTAATGCAGTTTAACTTCTCCCCGGCTATTCTCATTCAGCTGTTTGTCATTTCCAGCCAGTGGCACCATCTTGATCCCATATGGAGCTTTGAAATAACCTTGTTGAGATGAAAGGGGCCTGTTTTGTCTTCACTAGCACAAGTTCAAAGGTCCGTTTTTGCATTTGAATTTTATTACTTTATTTTATCTCCTCCAGTTGAACGCTAATTACATCCTATTCTGAAAAGTCTATGATGTAATAGGTTCTGTGAGCTATCCATAATGTGTGTTTGTGATGGTAATAGCTGCTTGAATCCTCTTCATTACGTCTTTCGTGCCAGCACATCCATGGAGTCATGGGAATGAGTTAGAAGTTGACCTTGCTGTTCAGGTCAGAAGAATGGCACTTAATTCATCTTGGCCTCCTTGGTTGCGTGTGGAAGTGCAAGTCGGCCCAGCTGACTTCACTCAGCTTCTGTGTGAGTCATATTTCCACTCTGGACCAGTGAGGGCAGGGCAGCGAGACACTAGTGGCGTAATACGCATACGCCCGTATTCTTCCCCCACTGCCCTCACCCTTGCCCCTGCTGCCATGCAAATGGGCTCGTTGATAGTAGTTTCCCATCAGCCCTGGGTCCCTGTGGGTTTAAAACCAGGAAACTGTGCCCAGCTGTCTCAGCACTGTGTGTTTCTCTCTTTCTCTGAAGAGAGAATCTCCAGTAACTCCCTACTCCCTATGTAGTGCAGTAGGTGAGTCTTAAAATAATAGCTCATAAATTGAAACAGTGCCTAATATTTCTAAAGGCCCAGTCAAGCTTGCATTTGCAAGCGAAATTCTGGGAGCATTGCATTTATTTCTGTGTAATGATTTTCCGTCACAGGCAAATGTATTTCATGTGTGAAATTTTGCTTCAAAGGTTAACTTTTCGCAAATTTGAATCCTCCAGTGTTGCTGCTTTGCTTATGTTGATCTCAGAGAGGGCAGCCCTTCATAAAGCTGTACCGGTTACTTACGCCTACCTACGTAAATTTTGTTTTTTTTTTTGCTCCAGACCACATCAGCAAGTGTCTAGTTATCTGATGTAATATTCGCTTTTGTGCTTCAACTGTTTATAGTAGGCAAGGTAGTCAGCTTGTTGACTGCGATGTTGGCTCCTTGGCTAACCACAGATGCACACAAGTCACCTCACATCAGTTATCGTTTTTTTTTTTTTGTTGTTGTTTTTAGCTTGCTATTGATTACTATGCCGCACTGTGCTCCGAGTATATAGTTATTCGATATAATTATGTTCACTTTTGTGTTGTTGCTGTTTGTGGTTAGCAAGATATCTGACCAACATGGAATTTTTTTTTTTTGTCTTCAATCTTCCGGACCAGCCTCGGTCATGCATTTTTTGCAAAGTGTTGTAAACTGCAAATGTCTAGTGAGACTGGCTTAACAAAGAGCTAATTTGGACTATTTTGGCCATGTGTGCACAATTCCCTACTTTTAGGTGTAGAAATTTCAGAACGCGCATAGTGCACTACATAGGAAGTAGGAGGATATTCAAGATTCAGCCTCTTTTTCTTTCTTTCTTTCTTTCTCTCTCTCTCTCTCTCTCTCTGTCTGTCTCTCTCTCTCTCTCTCTCTCTCTCTCTCTCTCTCTCTCTCTCTCTCTCTCTCTCTCTCTCTCTCTTTGGTTATTGGGGAAGAAGTGGATCAGGAGTACTGATGGTCAGAGCTTTTATGGATTGGTGACTCACAGTCTATCGATCAGTGCCGCTTAACTCTCAGACAGCTCAGAATAATGAGCAAGCTTTAAAAGGTTGGCACATTACCACAAATATTTTCCTCTGACCTGTGGTGGCCTGAAATGGCTCTATAAATAATCTGAATCTTTCTGCTTTAGTTGGGGGCAAAGTCATTTACATCAGATCGCAGATCTACTACCGCACATTTGCAAGACCTAGTTCTGTCACTTTTCATATGCCTTTCCTCAGTGATCTAACCTCAAGATTTCATAGCGAACCAGAAGAGACACATCTGCAGCAAAGGCTTCTTAGTTGTTATGAGTCTGTCTGTGCTCTGAGCTGACATGGCTCTGCTGCTCATGCTTTGAGGCTTCTGTTTATTTCAAGGCCAAGCACATGGCCAACCTTAATCCAATAAGTGCACAGGGAAGTGGTCGCTACTAGTTTAACCACAAACCTATAATAAGTGCTCGCGGCATGGCCTGACTGATCCAGCATGCGGCAGACGGATGTTCTCCTCCACGTTGGCCCATGCGTGGATCCATGACTGGCCCTCGCCTCGGCTTAGGCTGATCCAGACGGACTAATGGACAGCCCTCATCCCAACTGACTCCATCCTTGAGTTCCAGTATACAGAAGATTAGACTGCCTTGGCAAGCCCTTTATTTATTTTGTCTTTCCATCTCATGGTTGTGTTTAGTTATCACTTACGGGCTCATCCTCATCTGGAGCTTTGGTTATTTGTTTTTAAGTTGTGGGGTCAGGAGTCTTATTTTGGCTGAGGGAGTTTATGGTCATTCTGTCCTTCAGCTGTCCTTCTTTGTTTTGTTTTTTTTGTTCTTTAATCCATATTCAAAAAAAAGAAAATCTGATGGAAGACTTGAGTTCACTGAAAACAGGTAATTTCAGGTAATTGTAGATCCACCAACATTCTGGGCACCCAGGCTTTTGTATGTGACATTGAATTCCTCCTTCCACATGTAAGCAGTGAGCAATAACTAAAGAACTTGTTACACCCTTTCCACTTGATTCACGTCATTCCTGCTTATGATGCGTACCTGTTTCATCACAGGTGAATGTGGCCTACAGTGAGATGGTGCTGGTATGGGCTGATGATGTTAATGAATGTTTGCATGTGTTTTTTTTTTTCCCCCCCAGCCACGTCTCCCAACGCGTCATCAGAGCTGGAGCAGGCCCGGCCGCAGACGAGTGGAGAGGAGGAGTTACAGCTGCAGTTGGCACTGGCTATGAGCAGGGAGGCGGCAGAGCAGGTGTGCTATATGTGAACTCATCTAGGAGCAGGGCTGCTCAAATTTCAGCCCAGTGGTCTAATAGCTGTCACATTAATCAGTACACAATAACTAAACCGTAGCAATAATTTGTTCAGTTATACTATAAATTTGAATTATTTGTAGCTGCAAAAGGCTGCCACGTATTCAGTATGTGATGCATGATTCAGGCCACCAAGCCAATTAATCTTGTGGCACAAAATGAAGAATTTGTTGCCAATATTATAGAAACGTTTATAGTATATGCATTGTATGTGCAGCATGCTTTAGTACCAAAAAGCAGTTACCTGTTGCTTTTTGCTGCGAGGACCCTTTTGTTTGCTCTCAGCCATACTCCAGCAGCACAAATTCTTTCTTTCACTTTTGTTTTTTCATAGTCATTGTCATTACCTGACTCCTTTCTACATCATCATTACCTCTTTCTTTTCTATCGCCAGTAGCAGCAAAGTCACATTTTAGTAACCCGCCCATCGTGGCAGGATGCAAAGAAATGCTTGGAGCTTTAGAAGCAAGTTTTCACTTGTTCGTTGGCGAATTCTGAAAAAATCGAATACAATTAGTTCCGTGTCCCAACAAACAGGCTCTGGCTCTCGTGTGGGAGTGTGAAAAGTAGTTGGTTTGTTATCAGTGGTATATTTCTGTAAATATACTAAAATTTGACTGGTGGTGGTTTATTAAAACAGGGAAAAATGTGAAGGCCAAAGCGCCCAGTGGCACCGGGTAAAAGGCAGTGTTGACCCCTGGGCACAGGTTAGATTTAAAGTGAATTTATTTAGGGCAAGGGAAACATTAAGTTGACTTTATTAGATATTTAGTTGAAAATATGGTACAGACAATGTGAACATCTACAATGGACCATGAAAATAAAATGTTACTAAAAATCACCAATAGCTTCAGATAGCCATTATTTTATTATATTTGGGTCCATCCATCTGTAGGAGTGTTCAGAGATACGGTGAGAAGGAGGCTAATTTGCCTATAAATTTATGTAGACACTGCATACATTATGGTGTCCACGTCTGCTGCAGTGGGCGTATTGCACAGATCAGGGAAAGAATTAATGTTGAGGTTGGAGTGGGCAAGTCTGCGCGGCCACCTTTTCTGTTGCTGCAGCTCAGGCATTCCCCCTGGGGTGCATATAGCTTCGTGAATAAAAGGCTAGTTCACACTTAATCCTTTGCACTTTGTTGGCAGTTCATTACTACTCATTTGGTAATTCTGCGCTTTGGGCGATTCTGCAGGTTTGTTTTCGTGTGTGTACAGATCTTGCTTGTTGTATTAGTGACACATTCTCAAGAAAGTGCTTTGAAATAAGTGGCCTAAAAGCACAAATCAAACTGCTGTACTGGAATATGGATTGCGTTCTACAAGTTGGTATTTAAAATCTGCGGTCGTGTTTGAAAGAAAATGAGAAATGTGACCTCCCCCCATCCGTGTGCCCTCTCTCTCCCCTGATTACAGATTACACAGATCCGCTGAGCTGACTTTTCTTCCGGTGGAACCCAGCCAGCATGGGGATATTGTTCAGTTTAGGGTACAAATTAGTGTGGAAGCAATGCAACCGCATGTCTCGCTGGGATTTGAAACTGTGATTGCACTTGTTATAAAAGTGTTAAAGCAGAGGCAGTCGAGGGGATATGGAAGTGAACTGTTCCTTATAGCCCTGAAGGCACTGGAAGGCTCGTCTGTGGTTAGCAGTGTGTAGGAAGTGTGTCTGTGCTTGGACATCTGGGATGAATTTCCATACGAAAATAAGAGGCAGGCCTGCTGGTGGCAGGAGGTGTGCTGTAGGAGGTTCCTGTGAGTGAGCGGGGTTGTGCTCCTGCGGGACCTCAGAGCATTGCACTGTGCTTAAGAGCGCACAGCCTCCGCTCTGCACCGTCCCCTCAGCAACAGACACTCACACGCATCTCTTCATAGCTGCTAACTTGAAACCCTTGGAATTATTTTGAATCATTGATGTGCGGTTTGTCTTAGGAACACTGCAGTCTGGTCTGTGTTGGAGATGGGCATGATTATACAGATATCTGAACCCTCTTAATATTTGTGTAGTTTGGAATTAGAAAATTAAATAAATAATGTACCACCTTGAATTTTTTAAAAAGGCTTATTTGACTGAGCATGCGATTTTGAAGAAAAACAGAGAAAGACATGCAAATCTGAACATTTAAATAGCAAAAAATGTTTCAAAAGCCAGTCCGTATAGTACTTAGGAATCCTCTTGTTGAGCTCTGAGATAAGGCACTAGGAATGTGGCTTCCTTGAGTCAGGCTTTTTGTCCATCTTCTTCATACCACACGGTTTGCTCCAGACTATCACATGGGCGCCTTATGTGTGGCAATAATTCCCCATACTCAGCTAGGAATAGCACCATGTTGCTCAGTCCTGGAGCTTCCCAGAAGCTGTAATGGTCATGGACATGATTTACCAAATGCTAAGTGATTTACTACGACCAAGTTAAGTTGAAGACTAGATTACAGCCTGTGCTCTGTTGCTCCCCAGTGAGAGACGTGGCCACTTAGCAAGATCTTCCTTCCTTGGTTTCCTCATTCTCTAGTCGAGAGGGGGGAGGGGGAGTTGTTTGGGAGTGCACCATTTGTTGTCACCTTCTGATTGGTCGGGAGTTTCATCGTGCTATTGATTGTGAGCAAGCGTTATTCAAGCCAAAGTGATGTCTGTCATGTATTATTCAGGAGTGCCTAGACATATGTTATGCTTGTTTTATTTATGTGTGTATTCAGTGATTCAACGTTTCAAACTATGCACAACCGTTTAATGTGGAAAAAGTCCAGTTCGTTTTAAAAGGGAAAAAAAGAACCAGAATGTATGTTATATAGCATGATGTAATTGATTGTGTGTGTGGGTTTAGGAGGAGAGGATGCGCCGTGGGGATGACCTGCGGCTCCAGATGGCCCTGGAAGAGAGCCGTAAAGACACCAGCGTGTCAAAAGTGGCCAAAAAGAAGAAAGAGGTAGGCGCCATCTTCCTGGGTGCACTGAGCTAATGAGTCATCAATATAACGGTCACTCTTGTACTCAGCTGATGCATTTCCTCTCATTATCTTAGTGCTCTGATGCATCCAGATTTCCTCTGTATTTCAGACACAGTGTACCTTCAGCTGAAGAACAAAAGTCTTTGTTCATTCGATTAAATAAGTGTTTTTTTTCTCCCTTTGTTTTTTCTTTTTGCGGACTTGCTCAATGTCCTGTGAGTATTTATACTAACGTTGTAGTGCGTAGTAGTTCAGTGTTATGTGAAGATGCTTTTTCAGTAGCAGAACACAGCTGCAAGTTCTAACTGTGTCTGTATATGTGTGTCTCAGCCTCCACAGTCATCTTTGATGGATCTGATGGACGCAATCCCTGGAAGCCCTGCTGACCCCTGGGTGGCCGGAGCAGCAGCAGCAGCCCCAGCTCCAGCTCCAGCTCCAGCTCCAGCTTCAGACCCCTGGCAGAGCTATGGTAACATGAGTTTACAAACATATGCACACAGACGACATTTGTCTAGGTCTAATATTAGCACCTCTATCAGTTTGTGTTTACTCCTTGTTAACTCAGCATTTTGGGACTTGCTGGAGCGGTTACTTGTTGTAGGCGTTGCTTTGGCCTGTTTTTGTTCTTGTGTTGAAGCAGATGGTTCCCCCCAGGCTCACCGAGCCCTCCTCTTTCTCTCTGTCTCTCTTTCGCTTTCTCCTGTTCTTGCTGTTTTGTCTCTCGCTTTTGGGCTTTCTCTGTGGTTTCTCTTGCTCTCTCTGGTGTGGCGGCTAAAAAATGCAGCCGGGCTGGTAGTAGTGCATTCCCGCAAGTGCTGAACAAAGAGGCCCAGTATGCAGATTTGCAGGTGGAGTGCCCACCTTGCCCATGAAAAGCTCTTCTGCTCTCTGCTCGCAATAAGCACATGTACTGAATAAATTCCTGAAGCTTCTGGAATGGAACAAAAACAGATTTAGGCTGGGGTTGGGCTGTGTGACAATATTTATGCTTATTGTGATCAATTACATCACAATAACCTTCTCTGTGCACATTGTGGGTATTGTCATTACCTAAAGAACACTGATCAGTTACATGTTTCATTATAGTATGATATTTTTGCCAAATTGCCCACACCTGACTTAGGCTTTGCCGGGGCCAGCGTCACAACTGAATCATTTATTCCAAAGATATGCCGTCATAAAAGTCTTTAGTTGTGGTGCTGATTCACAGTGACAGTCTGTTAGATATTTCCTTTTGTCCCTCTGAGCTCTTTAAGTGTTGTGAGAAATACCAGACTATATGATCAGACAGTTGGAACATGTTGGGCAGGTTTTTGTCCCTTGGTCTAGTATTTTTAAACCCCCACCCACCCCACCACCCCCATTCCAATGACAAATGGGCAATTATTTTCTTTAAATCATGATATTAATTTCTTCACATATTTTGTACTTTTTGTTTACTTTAGATTTCAGTTATTTTATAATTATTAATCCTTTCAGAAGAACAATAAAGGAAATTTCATTGTAATAATAATTTATTTTCCAGTTCATTTTTTAAAACTGTGAGCCAACTCCCATTATGATTCATCTTAAGAACCTTTTTAGACCTAAGGTCAAGTACATTCTCTGTAGTTATGTAATTGAGGGGAAAATTGCATCAGAACTGGCGGTCAGGAAGTGGTTGAGCAAGGGGGTCATTGGATACAGAAGGCCAATTCATGTTGTACTTGAGAGTTTATTTCTGTGTGTACAGGTACTGCCCCTAAGCCAGCTGCTCCTGTGGATCCCTGGGGCCTGCCCAGTTCGGCCACTTCACTCCCTCCCATGAAAAGCAGTGACCCCTGGGGGTCGACCCCTGCTCCTACAGCGGCTGATCCCTGGGGCTCAGGGCCCGCCACACGCCCCAAGGTTTCTGGCCCAGGTGAGCCATCAGTCAGTTGGTGCAACTGAATTGAAAAATGCAAACAAACAAGTTTTTCTGACTTTAAATTGTCATGTTGAGTAAGTTTTTAAAAGATTTTTTCCAATTGAACATAGGAATTTTTTTTCCTTTCTCCTTTTCTTTTTCATTGTTAACATGATAAATTATTACATCACGTTACATCACAGTACAAAATTATGAACATACCATAGATAATGTTAGTAACATTAGTACACTGACCAACTGCATGTTTCATTAAAAAGGAATCATTCAGTCCTGTTTATTTTACTCATTGTAGCACAGTAAGTAAAATGTCAAACAAACATACTAGGGTTCTTTTGTCTGTATCAACTTAACAAACCCAATATTGAGTATTGTGAAAATGTCATCACGTAGGGCTGGGCGATAAAATGATAATGATAATTATCACGATATAACTTTGCCTCGATAGAGCGATAAGACATGTTCGATAAATTTTCGATATAATACACCGTTCTCACACTCCCACGTTCTAGCGACAGCCCTGGTGGCGTTTTCTACTGCAAGGAAAGTGACACTACTCTGCTGTCGCCAGGAGGGGGTGCACTTGCAAGTTTTTCGACATGATTAGAGAGGGAGGCAGCCACGAGTAAGATGAGTCTTTAGCAACGTCTGAAACGTAGAGTTATACATTCCCTGTCTGAGTGGAGCAACCGGCGATCTGCTCTCCTGTGACCGAGTGTGAGTGAATTGATGATACTGTAGATCAAACATGACACAAAAGCACCGCTTTCAGTTTAAACACACCTAAAAAGAGGACTCTGTTTGGCTGGTGTTGATATATTGCGGTTCACCCCTTAAACTACTACAATAGAATAGAGAAATCCAGTCATCGCTAGCTGGTGTCTGAATACTGTGATGTCATTTGTAACGGGGTAGCCGAGCGCTCGTCACCAGCTAAACATAATCTTTTCTTTCTTAAATTATGACTATTACAAAAAATGTGGCCGTGCTTTTCCAGCTGATAAAAACAGCTCACCAGAAACTTTCTCCCACTCTCCCATGATAGATCTGTGAAATGTTCCACTGGTTGGTGAGTGTTTGTCGTGTTCTGACAATAAAGGATAGTTTAAAACAGCAATTAACCACCCAGGATCTAAAATCAGCCTTCAAACTTGAAAGAAATAATGATTTGACATTTATCGCGATATGTATCGATATCGAACAATATGAATTTTGTTTATCATGATAACATTTTTGGCCATATCGCCCAGCTCTATCATCACGTATAGTGATTTTATTTTTGCCATAATGCCTAGCCCAAACCAATCATTCAGTTGAGCTATGCAATGTGGTGAAATGTTGTTCCATACAAACTTCTGATTTTACCAACAGACTCTTTTGATCTCTTCTCCACACCAAATGGTACCTCTAAAGAAGACCTCTCTGATTTCGACAGTCTTCGCTCTTCAGTGATGACAGGTATATCTCCCATCCCTTGTGTAATTTCTCTTAGAAAATATATTAAGCACACAGCTAATTCCAGGAAATAGTTAGATATTAGCATTGTTTTGCGTGGCATGGTGCATTTAAAAAAAATTAATTGTTGGTGTTCATAGGAGATGGCAAAGGAAGCTCAGCATTGCCCTTACAGACCAGCAAGTCCGCTAGCCCCAGCCTGTTTGACTTGCAGCCAAGTGCCCCAACCAGAAAAACCCCAGAGTCATTCCTGGGTCCCAATGCTGCCCTGGTAAACCTGGACTCTCTGGTCACCAAGCCTCCTCAGCCAGCTCCCATCTCCAATCCCTTCCTTGCTGGAGGTACATTCTGCTTCCACCAACCATGCTTACAGGCTGTAGATGCGTTTTTGTTATCTTGTATTTGTATTACTAACTGAGTTTGTGATACTCTGGGCCTTCAAAGTAGCTCTTTGTTTCCTTTTATTAAATTTTAGTAAAATTCACTAATTGTTTCAAGTGGAATGGCCTCAGCTCACTGTCTGTTTCTTCTGTTTCTGAAACTTTTCTTGTAGCAGCAGCAGCTCCTGCCCCTGCAGCTCAGGTCAACCCCTTCCAGGTGAACCAGCCCCAGCCACCCACCCTCAACCAGATGAGAGTGAGCCCCATGATGGGCATGACTGGTCAGGGCTTTGGCAGCCTGACCTCAAGGAGCAACGACCCCCTGCCTTTGTCATCTCTGGCCCCAACTGGCACCGCCGGCATGATGCCAACGGGTGGCATAGCCCCGCTTGCTCCCATGGGCCAGATAATGCCAAGCATGGGTATGCAAGGCTCCATGTCCATGCCCCAGCCTCTTATGAGTGGAGGGCTGCAACCTACAGGCACTGCAGCCCAGGCTGGAGGCACCACTAATCCCTTCCTGTTGTGAGGAACAATATAGGCTGTCATTGCCTGTCCCTACACGCCCCACCCAATCCCCCTTCCAGTGGTATAGACAACATAGTCTGTTGTGTCCCTCCGACCGATGTGCTATTTTGAGACTTTCTGGAGTAGCAGTGGTGTTTACAGTTTTTACATTGGCAGGAGATGCTCTCTTCGGCCTGTTGGAGGTAGGTACCATAGAGTGATTGGTATTTTATTTTTCTAAATTTCCTCAAATGGACCGTCAACGATTGATTACTGTATCTCTAGGTGTGACTTTCTCACCACTTTTAGTCTGCAGTTACTTTTCAAAAGACAGCCTCGCATTCAAAAGGGTCCCGATTTGTAACTTCTTTTGATTGCTTGATTTTCTTATCGGGGGCTTAAAACTTTAGGGATTCTGCTTTCTCTTAATTTTTTCTAATTTTTAGTCTTTTAAAGCTGTAAATCGCTAAAGCTAACCCTTTTTAATCAAAGCAGCCTATATGTTCTACGCAGTGCATATACACTATGTGTATTTACAGTACGCATAAGTAGACACAGTTCAGAGGACACTATCAGTTTACATGGTAATCATTTTGATGTTCTAAGCAGGGATTTTGCACACGCTCTGATTTCTTCTTTTGACTGTTGGCTCACCATTAGTCCTTAGCTTGACAAACAATGATCATCGGTTTGTAAAAGACATGACATATGTACCAGGCATAAAAAAATATGTGCATGGCACACGGTTTGGTAAATGCTAAGGACTGTCCAAAACAGCCGCACGCCTCAGTGGTTCCAAATCTGATGCATTGAAAGATGAGCTTCATACTGAAGTGGAGAAGGTTTTTTTTTTTTGTTTGTTTGTTTTCTTTTGTTTTTTTCCTTTTTTTAAATGCATGATAGGGAATTGGTTACCATATCATGATATGGCTCAACTTTTATACAAAGGCCTCTGTTTTGTTACTCCTTAAAATCCTTAGAGATTGTTAATTGGTCATGTGCGTTGTTTCAGTTAAGTACAATTTCAGTACTGTTGTAAAGCTCACTCTTTGCACACCGTCTCATCGCATCCTTATGGTGACTGTTTGACACAGCTAATCAAAGCTAATGATTAGAATTCAACTGCCTAGCTTTTTTTGAGTTATTCATTGAGTATCAAACAATCTGAAATGTGTTTTCAGTTTCAGTAGTCTTGTTTATTTATATGTGTAAAATGTATTAGCTGTCATCGAAGGAACAAAGGGAATTGGGAAGATGAGTTAAACTATTTTCATCAGGTTCAAATGCATCTTACTGTTATCTCTATTATAACTAATCACTGTTACCTTATGCGATCAGTTCATATACATTTAAATAGCTAAACATGTATCACTGCTTGCCATTACAGCTAAATGGCAATGATGCTTCTGATGTGTATGAAAAGCATTGATGTGCTAATAACGTTAGAATGAGGTGGGACATATAAACATATGATACATATGATTTATTTAGTTGGTGGGGGTATTTTTTGAGTAGGCTGACGTCTTTTGTTATTTAATTTCCATTTTGGCCTCTGTTTGAGAGTGTTTCCTTTTTCGAGCTGTGGTCTTAAAGTATATCGGACTTTCGATTTCCATAAAAGCATCACTGTGTAGCAACAGGACATTCTTGCAGCAGAAGGGGATTTACAATGTAATCTACCCAAAAGATCAGAATCTTAGCCTTCTAATCCCTTCAGTCCATATCACGCAGAGGTTTTATGTCCGGGTTTGATATATACACATTATTTAACATGAGATGTTATACACTAGTCTGGATTTGAATCTGAATATTATGTAGATATTTTTTATGAGGTAAAACTTCTTATACTTTTTTGATGATAATATACTTTGACATCACAGATAATTTACTGGGTAATAAATGGAGAAATTTATGATTTTTTGCATATTATGTCTGTCTGGGTTGAGTTTTCACCCATGACAGTGTATTTCCACCCCACAAGCACAAGAATGCAGTTTTTTTCTGCCCAAATGTAGTTACCAAAGTCGCAGTGCTCGTGAAACATATAAAAGAGGTGCCGTTGTAGTTTTCTAACTCGAATAGTAGAAATACCTTTTTAATTTGGGCCCACATCTTTGTGCTCGTGGTTTGGTTCATCTCTCTGATACCACTGCCAATACAAATGTGCTCTTTTGTGCTTTCCTTTTTAATTACGACCTCTGCTGGAAATGCTGTGGTAATACTGCCTCAGTGCAGTTGTGTAGCAGAGCCTGGGTGTTCGTCTCAAATCCACAACCATACTCAGGCATTTGGGGGAAGACAGCTTTAAAATGTACACAATGAGTTTATGATTGACATGATGGAAGTAGGCATTGATCCTGCAATGTCAGGCTCTTCTGCTGACAAGCATCACATAAAATTACACAATTGGTTATCAAAAAAGTTGTTGAAACAGTTATGCAAACTAGTTTTGCCGTGTTTTTGCTTTTACTGATATACAACATCTAGCTCAGTTTGTCCCATCTCATTTTGCTGTTACTGTTTGTGTATCACTTGTTTTCCGTTACTATGTACTCATTAAGCATTTATTGTGGAGGACTAACCTTGTGAACATGCATAAACACCTTTTCCCATGTTATTGTGTCTGTGTATTTACCAAACTGTCTCATATTACTGGGAGCAGGCTGCTTTTTTTATGGATATGTGCTCGACTTGTTGGCATTATAACTGTATAATATAATTTATCATTTGTTCTATTGTAACATATTGTTCTGTACCTTATTTCTGTGTAATGGTTTTCTAGGAAAGTCACATGAACAATGTGATGTTTTAATGCCATCTAAATCAGCAGCAATTGATGATAAAGGACCTCTAGCTGCAATGGTAAAAATAAACTGTATCACTGACATTTGATTTTAGTCTGTTAATGCTATTAATAAACGCAGCAAGTGACACACGTGTGTATGACAGCAGATTCTTATGATATCTGGTGAGAATGTTGGTGCTTCCTTTGCAAATATGTAAATGAAGACAAAGAAAAGTACAATCTGTACAAATTTATTACAAATATACAGAAAAAAAGGATGGTAGAAAAAACCTGGTTTTATATCCTTTAGAAACTCCAGCAAATATTGGACCTACTTATGCTTTAAAGTCATTTGCTGGTTTTATTCTTTATCTGTATATCAATGATACATAACATTCCAAATGTTGTGACTACCGTCAGGTTCCATAGGGCTGCTCTGTTCCAGCCAGGTGTGTGGCTGGTGCTTGCTCTGTGGAGGTGGTGTCATAACCAAGTTTCTTCATGTCCTTGGTGACAATGTTGAACTGTAGTGTTACAAAGCCTTGGGAGCGCACCCTAGTTACTGCAAAGACACAAATACACTCAGCATCCCACTAGGAGACAAATCACAAACTAGAAGACACAGTTCTGTAGCACATTATTAATTCTACCAAACTGTAGAAGAAAGAACTGAGAAAAGGAACTTGGCATGTCTACCATCTCTTCCCTCTCCTTGGGCAACAACCTTGGGATCTGTGTACTCTGGACGCCTGCCCATCAACCAGCTGTGGACAACAAATAAAATTTAATTGGATATTTTACCATCATATTTATTAGGGCTCAGACCACTTAATGACGAATGATTATCAGAAATGACTATGAAATCGATACTTAGAATTTTTTTTTCTTCTCGTCTTACGTGCATCAGTGTTCTGCACTTTATTATCTAAAACTGTAGTGCCAGTTTTACTTAATTTACACACAAAGCATGCTGGCATGCTCATTCAGGGAAAAATGTCAGTTTAATGTTGTTCATGTTTTTTTGCAGATATACTGAAACCTTCACATCAAGTCCAATGTGCTTTTTTCCTTCAATACTGAGAACGCAGGAAGAACACAGATGAAAAAGACATATGTATTTGTTGAATAGTAAAAGCAACAACATTATTTTTCTTTTGCATTTTGCAATTCAAAGATGCATACCAGCCCATTTGGCTAAGAAAGTTCAACTAACAGAATGAATTCCACTAACTCACAGAATCTGATGTGTGTGGTGTGGCGGAACTTAAGGCTGTTTCAGCTCAGAGCTCTGAACATTAAAATGAGCAAACAAACTACAAGAAGCCATGAGTTCTGACATGTAAATGCCTGTTTTTAACACTGTGCTTTTTTGGTTTTGTTTTTTTTATGTGGGTGTAAAACTTGGACTGTGTGAAAATGCTTTATGGCCCCTGTGTCAAACACAAGGCCCGCGGGCCAGATCAGGCCAGTGACACAATCCTAGCCGGCCTGCAAAAGTGTTTTAATTTTCTATTAATATTAGCTTGTTTCACAATGCCCTGCACTACAGTCCCCAGCATGCACTGCAACGTAACGTCTGCTCCGACTCTCCTACCCCAACAACAATTGGACAGCAGTTACACCTCAGTTCTACACACTTCTACAAAATTACACACCAGTCATATCACCAAACACACTAGCTGCATTTCAGCTGCAACCAATTCAAACCACCTAACGTCAGCTCAGCAGCTCAGAAATCGAGCCCAAGTATCAATGAGCTTGCAGCAAAGAAAGGACGCCAGGTGTCTATTTGAAGTAAACAGGTAGGTTTAAATGTCCTAGCTCCTAGGGACATTTAAATTTTGAATATTTCAAGTACTCAGGTAATGTTTCATTGTCTACTACAATTGCCTCTATTTTACTGTTAAAGGTTGTTGACGTATTTTGAATAACCAATGGTCAGTTCTGTTTATAGCAAAATGTTAATTAAAAATAAAATAAAACGTGTTCTCTGGCCCACTGATTTGTTGAGATTTTATAATGTGGATTTTATAATGTGGCCCTTCTAGTGGTTGAGTTTGACACCCCTGCTTTATGGCTTGGGCGCCCTCATCTGGCACAAATGGATACTTTCCTAGATATACTGAATAAGCAACTGCAAAATACGGGGCTGTTAAATAATTAAAATACTCATGTTTATTGATATTTTTGTCTTGATATATTGATTTTTCAGAGTTGCTTATCAAACCAGCCCTAATATTTATGCTCAAATACATGAAATCTAAAACATAGGTTCATTATTGGCTTCAAAGTAGAATTGTCATATTGATGCATCTTTAGCCTTAATTTTAGTATACTAATTTGGGGTTGCTAAGTGGCAAGACTGAGAATAGAAATATGTGCAGTCATAAGCATCTTATGCTGCAACACCTATTTAAAACAGACATAGTAAATGGTGTAGTTCCACTAAACATTCCCCACTTTTTTAAAGCTTAGTGGTAACTGTTAATGTCCCACTTGTATCATGGTGGCTAAATATAGCGTTCCATTAGTATTTCAGACGAATTAGAATATTCAGTTTTTATATTATGAAATGTTCAATACATGTTAATGTAAACACTTGGCTGGTTATTGCTAAAAACTTGTCTGTACCCTACCTTGTGAATTTCTGCAGTCTTGATGTGGATTCAGGAACAAACATCGGAATGGTTTTTGTGTGTCTGAAACAATAATTCATATGTTACTTACATAAAATAGACATTTACCAGAATGCAGAGATTAAAAACACGCCAACTTTACTACATTCCAGTATGAGTCCCACTCACCTTCCAGGGGTTAAGGGAACGTGGACTGCTCCATACCCTCTGACCACATCATTTCCAAATGCATCTGGGCCATACACACTGACCACTATCTGAGGCCCTGAAAATGATACACAGCTGAAATGATGCACACATTTGTATGTATGATTACCTTCATCAGAGGATGTAGGAGACCTAATTAAACATAAAGCACACATATTCAAAACTCTGTGGTTTGGCTGTATAAGTAAAGGGAAAGTAATGTGACAGAGATGTAGAACATACAGCCAAACGGGTTGGTGCTTTTGAAAGTGATGTCCAGCGGGAAGTTCCACACCAATCGCTGACAGGAATCTCTGCCCTTTGACGTAATCTGAGATATTCCCTCCTCCAAACCCTGCAGAAGATAAAGGTAAAGATACAGCAGACACAGAACATAACTTACTACATTTATCACTCTCAATTAATGAATGAGGGGAATAGCAAAGCTCCTACACACTTAAAAAGATGGTTCTAAAAGGGTTCTTTAGTAAAGCTAGTGGTTCTACTTAGAACCATGAGTTCTATATAGATGCACTTCGCGCTTAAATAGTTCTTTGCGTGGTTAAAGGGTCCTTCAGAACCCTTTTTGGTGCTAAATACAACAATATACAACACATTCTCCATCAATCTGAAGACAAACGGAACCATTGCCTTTGCTAAAAAAAAAACCTTGAAGAACCATTGCTTTTTTTAAATGTGTAAGTTAGCAGGAGAAGACCATCAAAAAATCTGGATTTCACTCACTGAAGTAGGTGCCCAGTCGTGTCCGTACACAAAACAATACTTGCAGTATAAGTCATCATATCCTGGGAACTTGAAAAAGAAAAGCCCAAACACACTCAAACAAACAGCTATTATCTTACTGTTGCTTGAGGCACATTCATGTCGGCTTAGTAATCAGTGAGCCGACTAACCGTTATTGCTAATGAATTTGTGGAGGTACAGAAACTTACATTAGCGCTTTCTATCTGACCGTTGACCATGAGGAGGAAAACCGATGGGTTGTTTGAGGTCATGTTTATGTAATTAATTAAAACTGTGACTTTATTAAATTAAGAGTAAATGTCCTTCTGTCCACACAGATTGGTGCTCACTGTGTACATAACTACTCAAATGGCGGCTGGTTGCTAACGTCGCTCCTGATGCTAAGGACGGCTTTACTACGGCGGCTTGTAAGGTTCAAACCTAAAGAGGACGCGATTTTTAAATTTGTCTTGCCACAAGGTGGCTCCAACGTACAATACAACAAGACCACTGCAACGATGGAGGGTCTCTGGTCCCGAAATCCTACACACACATACAAAAAAACACAAACACGTAAGCCTGAGTGATGTAATAACGCAGTGTTTTCTGGGTGGTCCGCCATTGTGGCAGGGTGCATCAGTCTCGGCTGGTTTAGAATAGGTCCAACTGATTTCTTTGATTTAGGCTGATCTGTAGCTTATGGTGTCACTAAATACATTGGCAGGGACGATTTAACATGTCGACCTACATCACTAACACATCACAGATGTGTGTAAATGTAAGATTCGTGTAATCTTACGTGGATCTTTGTGGGGCTTAATATTGTACAGTACAGTAATAGTGTCAATAGTTCGCTAAGTAGCATTTGCTAAAAAGCTATTTACCTTGGAATATTCAAAGACGTAGAGAAATATGCTAGTACACACACACACACATATTTTCCTTGCTGCTTTTCCTTCTGGGTCACGTGGGGTGCTGGAGCCTATCCCAGTGGTCATTGGGCAGAAGGCAGGAAACACCCTGGACAGGTCAATATGCTAGTAACCGAGTTAAATTAAAGACTTTATGAATCCTCTTTGGTTCACTGGCTGAGTGAATAACATTAAATGTGGCTGAGTTAAAAAGAGATAGCTAGCTAACTGAGTGAAATCTGCCACAGCGTGGCAGAGTTGTATTTCACAGAGTGAAATACAACATTAAATGAGGTAAGTCTGCCGGTGTTGGAGTGAAATAACCATTTGTACACTCTACATGGGCTTCGAGTAAATTCACACGAGCTAGGAAAAAGTCTGTGAATGAAAGAGGAGGTAATGTAAGCATGTTCAGATCATTTAATCCACTCGTTGTTGGAAGTTTGTGTGGATCAGACAGTCAGTAAGGCAAATTTTATATAATGTTTTGACATGCCTTTGAAGTTGATTCAATATGAAGCATGACAAGCCTGAAAAAACACAATAAAATAGCGATTTCTTCAAGCGCTTGTCATGTAAGTGAATATTTGCAGTAAATAAACAAAGGACGAACCCTGTCAATATGGCGGAATGATCCCATAATGCAGTGTGAGTTGGGACTTTCCCATGTCAACTTTCCCTATTTAAGCTGGATTAGTTTTACCTGGGGAGGTGCTATAATTTGAGTGATTATCAACGAGATTTGTGAATTAAATCCAATATAATTCTGCCATGTCTGTAGTTTTTACATGTCTGCTAACGCTAAGTAAAAATTCAGGAGTGAATTGCCTTCTATAATTCGCTCATCTCTGAGCTCCCTCAGTAACGATAGTCCTATTTGAACCAACATCACAGTAATGTAATAACAAAACTGAGTATTAGAAAATGACCTATTTGCAACCTTAAGACAAGGCTACCAGCTAAAATAGAGCTTGATTTGACCCAGTTTTCAAATCCATGACAAGACTACTGATATCCACAACATTTCAGTGTATTCCCTCCCATACACTATGATTGCAGGTTACTGATTACAGGCTTCACCCCACACTATTTTTTTTTTTTGCACCATATTTAACACATTAGCCAATGCCTGTCGCATAATGCTGAGGTAAACGTTCCTGAAATTATGTTTCAATTCGAGCTATTTGGGGTAATTTGAGGAAATAACACAGTCAGATCAATCAAATTATATTACTGTACCTCCTGTGGTAAAACTAATCCAGCTCAAATAGGGCTATAGATCTATATAGCATTATACTAAGGGTCAAACAATTTACAAAATTCATAATTCGGTTCAGTGCGCTACAGTGGAGTCCCCATACATGCAATACATTTTTCAATACAGCATATGTGCCTGATGTGCCTTATGTCAACATGTTAAAGGGGAATTATCACTTTTTTTTATTTCTGCACAATTAAATCATGGAGATGTACATGTCATTCAGTGAAATGGAGCACTGTAAAACATACTGATTTCTTTACGGGGTGATGTCTACAACACAAATATAGCCATTCTATTTACTATCTGAAACAGACAAAGAACGTACTTGTGTCCTCTGAGTTTTTATATTTAATGTTGATATCTGAACAAAATTTTAACAAAAAAGTTTTCTTTGGGTATTTTTGCTTTACACCTCCTTGTATACCTTGCAGAAAAAAAATAAAAACCATTAGAAGTTTCTGTTGGTTCCTAGTAGTCACTAATGGCATTTTGTGTTTTCCCAGTTGATATCACAGTATAAAGGATTCTAATGGTTTAACAGGTGGCCTGGGACTGATACCGGATTCATTTGATGTTTTCCTAATTGGATCTAAAGATGTCCCACAGGAAACTAGTGGTCTAGAATGATAACCATTCAGCTAATTCCCAATAGAAAGTAAAGCCATCAGGTTTTAATCCTAATAAATGTAATTTTTTTTCCCCACCATGAATGGATTTTAAAGAATACATTTCATAACAAAACTGTGTCTCAAAACTATTCTAAAACAATGCCTCAGGGCATCCAGCAGCATATTCGTATCCATTTCAGGTAACTTTGTGAGGTAACTTTTTGAGGCATTATGCTCTTTGGACATCTGGTTCCCATCACCATCGCTGTGGACTGTGAAATACAGACCAGGGCATTTCACATCAAACCACTCTGAATGACTTTGTTTACATCATAACCATTAAATTTTGTCCCAATATGTAGATTTTTCAAAATTGTGTTTCGTCCCAGCTGTAATATTTTGGCTTACCCTGCTAGAAAAACTAGCATGGCCTAGCATGGCAGGTCACCAGCATATCGCTGCTGGTGAGGTATATCTCCAAATGATAACTTTGAAGGAGAAGGAAAAAACAATTTTATACTTTTACAAACTTTTAAGGTAAGTCAATGTCACTAGACTCTGTGTAATTGTGGTCCATTTATCATGAAATTTATGCACAATATAAAGGGCAACAGGCATTTTCAAAAACTGAAAAAAAAAGAAAATATGAGGTTTTGTTCCAACAGCAGTGATGTGTTGTGTTTTGACTGTGCTAGGTGACCAGATAAACCACCATAGATTAGCTTTATGCTGGTCTGTGCTGTTTTTTTCAGCAGGGTAAGTATCAAAAAAATAAAACATGACTTGATTATTGGCTTCACTGCTGAATTTCCATATTCATGTATTTTTAGCCACAATAATATAATATAACATAACGCTGTTGTCGGAAGAAAACCTTTTATCTCCAAAATAGCGACTTTACAGGAAAAGGAAAAAACATACTTTACTTTTAATGTAAGTCAATAGAACCAGGCATTTTTCCAAGTCATTTTGGGTCGTTTCTTTTAGTCTATTCTTCATGAAATTTACAGGCATTTTCAAATTATAATATAATATAATATAATATAATACTTTGATGCTGATTAGTGGAAGACTGATAGAACAGGAATGTTTGCAGTCATAATAATGCTTTAATATCTATATGTTCTGTTTTAAATCTGTTTTCCAGTCATTCTAAATCAAAAATATTTCTAGACCAAACATACAACATACAACAAAAATATAATATCAACTGGTTTGACATTTATTGTCTAGCAATAAGTGGATATGATGTCAATAAGCCTATCAATAAGTGATTCCGTGATGATGGTGGAGTAAGACTTACTTACATTACCTCAAGATGAACAACAACAAAAACATATTGCTTCACTCTTTCTATTGATCACTGCACTTTGTTGTTTAAACTAGCTTGTCTATAGAAGACAGCTTCTTCTCTCCTCTCTCAGACAGCACTGCACATGACACCCATCAGACCTGAGGAAAAGAGAGAGGTGGGTTCAGAGAGACGGTGTGCTGCAGAGGAATCAATATCAAATTCTTAGTTTTAAACGTGTGTGCATTAGTTCTGCACTGTACCAGTAACCAGCGTGTGGATCTCTCCCTCAATACTCTACATCAAGGGAACAGAGTTTGACTGTCACTGTGTGGCTTAAGCGCGTCCCAGTTTGAGCTGTCCTCGTCTTTTGCCAATCGTCCCTCTTTGGGACCAGGTTCTTTGACTCTCAGTTACTATTTATAGCAACAGACTTGTCTGCACTACTTAAAAGTCCTCTGCGGAACCTGCGTCTCCCTTTTTTAGATACAAGATAAAGGCAGTTAGAGTGGGGTATGATATTTTTTCTCTCCTCCTTACCCACCAGAGCGGCTTTGAAGTGCAGTTCGTTACTTTTTTTCCTTCTGTTAAACCTGCAGGGGGAATCTTGTGAAGCTGTAGAGTGCCCAGAAGTGACCTCACTATAATGGGGTTTAAAGACCTACTTCAGTACCCCAGATCTCAACACCATTAGACAGCCATATCCATCTCATTGACATTTCTCACCAGTTGACATTTTCTTGCGTCACCAAAACATCCACCAACTGTCTACACCGCATCAAATGTCAAGGAAATGCCACTTGCCCAAGGCTGTTGTGTGGAGGGCTTGGCAGGGATGTTCTAAGTCAAGTTGACATGATGCTGCAAATCTTGGAATTCGCAGTGGGAACCTTGAAGATTACTATTCACTCTTAAACATAACATTTTTTCATAGAACTTAACCTTCCCCACCATTTGTTATCTTCAAATTTACTAACCGTGCCGTGTGAACTATCAATGGTTATCATAGTACTACAGTTATGATTCTGTTAGGTTAGGGCTCATAACCAATGGGAGGTTTTTTGAAGATAACAAAATTGCATGCCATAGTGACCTCAATATCGTCCAAAACAACCAAAACAAATGTGTTTAAAATGTTGATATTTCTTATACAGCTGAAAAAGCCTGAGGTCTAATTGACCCCAAAGAACACCCCAATGCATACAAAATGTATGCAGGACATTGAAAACATATCATCATTTATGTTTACCCTGTTGTTCCCATTAAATTAGGAAAAGTAATTAAATATGAACAAAAAAATTATGTCAATCATTTATTCAGAGATATT